GCTGACAGCAGTTGGGGGGGGAGGAATTAGGGGGGGTTTCGCCCCAAAACTGACCCCCCCCAGTCCCACCACAGGCTCTGGCTCCGGCGTTCCCTTCCACTGGCACGGCCCCGGTTACTCGGAGGTGATTTTTGGGAGGAAGGTGAGAACAGAGTCCTTTGCACTGGGGGGGGGACACAAAAAAAGCCCCCCGTGGGTGCTCCCCAAACAGAGGGACCCCCCCCCCCAAGAGGGGCTGGAGGGGAAATTGGGGTGTGTGTTGTTGTTACCCCCCCATCCCCCTGGGTGTTTTCCAGCGCTGGTTTCTGTACCCCCCGGATAAAACCCCCCACTTCCACCCCAACGAGACGACGCTGGCCTGGCTCCATCACACCTACCCCTCGCTGCCGCCCGCCCAGCGCCCGCTGGAGTGCACCCTGCGCCCCGGGGAGGTGAGGACAGTGTCACCAAGTGTCACCCCCCCCCTCTCTGCTCCCCTCGGGAGGGTGGGGGTGACACCCCAGACCCCATAGGACACCCCCGGAGCCCATAGGACACCCCCCTGCTCTCTCTCTCTCTCCGGGCAGGTCCTCTACTTCCCCGACCGCTGGTGGCACGCCACGCTCAACCTGGACACCAGCGTCTTCATCTCCACCTTCCTGGGGTAGCACCGGGGAGGATGAGGAGGTGCCACCATCATCCCAGCCGAGGTGACAGCTCCAGCTCCTACCACCACCACCAAAAGCAGCACCAGATGTGCCCACTCAACTTATCCGTGTCCGGACCAAGTGCCTGAAGAATTTCTGGTTTTGTTTTTTTTTTTTGTTTATTTTTTAACTGGTCTTTTCCTTCCCCTTTGGATTAAAGCCGTTGTTCCACCCGTAGCTCCTGTGTAGCTTCCTACATCCCCCCGGCCAAACCTGCTCCTCAGGGAATAGCCCCCCTTCCCAAGACCCAAACCTCGGGAGATCACCCCCCTGTGAACCACTCCAGCTCTTTTATTATTTTATTTTTTTTCCCACATTTATTGCTGAATTTTTTTTCTTTAATTATTTTTATATATTTTATTATGTGTTTTTTGTTGGGTTTTGTTTTTTTTTTTTTTAATTGACATATTGGCAAACTTCCAGAGGGTGCTCAAAAGCCACGCAGGCTGTGGGCCGACCCAACCGCCGGAGTCACAGTCAGCCCTGGATCTGTTGGTTGGGGTTTGTTTTTTTTGTTGTTGTTTTAAAGGGAATTCATTAAAAGGAAGAAGAACTTGAACCCGGGGCAGTCGTTCGCAGGGAACCACGGTCCCGGCGGGCGAGGGGGCCGTGCAAACCAGCCCCTTCCAAGCCCTCGGGGGCAGCAGTTTCCAAGGAAAAAAAACAAAAAACCAAGCCAGAGGGTGGGTGGGCGTCCGCAGTGGGGGAGGTTGGGTCTCCTGCTCTGCTTACAGGAGTGAGGAGACCCCGACCCCGGCCAGGCAGGAGGTGGAAGGATGAAGACACAACTATGTACACGGGGAGGGGAGTTGGGTCAGCCCAGCACCAGGTGCTCATCCCGACAAACTCCTCCTCACGGCACCTCCCCGGAGCCAGGATGTGATCTTTGGGGATTGTCAGCTGCCGGAGCCGAGGTTGGGGGGGGACAACCCCCCGCTCTCTGGGGCGATGAAGATGTTGGTTGGTGAGACCTTCCAGGCCACCGTGAGGAAGCCAACCTTCTCCAAACTTCCAGAGGTGGTCTGCGAGGAGCTGGGGGAGAAGGAAGGAGCCCCTGGAGGGATGCGTTGTGCTCGCCCAGCCGCTGCGGTTCCTCAGGAAGGGGACATGGCCACTGGCCCAGTTGGGTCTCTGGGCACCCGGAGCACAGGGGGAAGAGCTGGAGAGCGAGTAAGGCATGGTGCCAGCCCAGAGAGAGGTGTCTGTGCCACCCTGGCCGGGGTAGGGGGTGGCTTTGAGGGGGGGAGCGGTCCCGGGCCGGCCAGCGTTGTCCCCTGGGCCCCCCTCAGTAATCCTCCACCCAGCCGTTCTCCGAGATGAAGGCGTCGATCACCTCCTTCATGGCCAGGTTGGGGATGAGCTGGTCCTGGGTCAGGGGACTCCGCGTCACCGGATCGAAATGACCCACGCGCTGCAAGGGAGGAGATACCCACCCCCCACCCCCCCCAAAACCGGTTACTCCAGGTGCCCGGCCTCAGCCCCGGGGCACGGGCAGGGTAGCCACGGGGGCCAGCGTCCTGCCAGCACGGCATCCGTCCCTGTGCCTGCCCAGGGGGAAGGAAAGAGCAGCGTGGAGGGACAGTGTCATAGAATCATAGAATTGCCCAGGCCGGAAGGGACCTCCAAAGGCCATCTAGTCCCACCCCCCCGCAGTCAGCAGGGACACCCCCAACTAGACCAGGTTGCCCAGGGCCTCGTCGAGCCTCACCTTGAATATCTCCAGGGAAGGGGCCTCAACCACCTCCCTGGGCAACCTGTTCCAGGGCTCCACCACCCTCACAGTGAAGAACCCTCTCCTCATCTCCAGTCTAAAGCTGTTCCCCTCCAGCTTGAAGCCATTGCCCCTCGTCCTGTCACTGCAGGCCTTTCTAAACAGGCTCTCCCCAGCCTTCCTGTAGCTCCCTTCAGGTACTGGAAGGCTGCTATTAGGCCTCCCCGGAGCCTCCTCTTCTCCAGGCTGAACAACCCCAGCTCCCTCAGCCTGTCCTCGTAGCAGAGGTGCTCCATCCCCCTGATCATCCTTGTGGCCCTCCTCTGGACCCTCTCCATCAGGTCCATGTCCTTCTTATATTGAGGGCTCCAGACCTGCACACAACACTCCAGGTGAGGTCTCACCAGAGCAAAGTGGCAGAATCCCCTCTCTGGACCTGCTGGCAACGCAGCTTTTGATGCAGCCCAGGATGGGATTGTCCTTCTGGGCTGCAAGTGCCCACTGCCTGCTCATGTCCAGCTTCTCATCCACCAGCACCCCCAAGTCCCTTTCCTCAGGGCTGCAAGTGTCCTCTCTAGTGTCCTCTCTAGAAGGTGCCACCCAGCAGGATGAAAACGGGTCAAGGCACAAGCGCTGCTGCCAACAGCCGCCTCCGCCGCCTTCCTGCCTGCCCAGGCAGGTTCCTGGGACCAAACCCAAAGAGGCTTTTTTTTGTTTTTGGGGGGGGTGGGCAGGCAGCTGCCTTCACGCCCAGGCAAGGAGGACTATGGGCAAGGAGGTCCTGTCCCCAGCCTGGTGGTACCTGGAGATGTTCCTCGATGTCCTTCCTGTCGTAGGTGATGCCGCTGGGCGTGATGCAGGGCTCTCTCATCAGCTCAAAGCTGATCTTCCCGCACAGGTAGTCTGGGATGTCCCGCTTCTGGCTCGAGAGAAGCAGAGCTGGGTGAGGAGGTGGCAAGAAGGGGGAAGAGGGAAGGGTGGGGAGCACGGACTAAGCCAGGTTTACGGTGATAAGCTCTGGACGGGGAGAGAGGGGAGCGCAGGGCGGGTCACGCTCACCTTCCTCTTCTCATCCACTTGGGAGAAGAGCTCGTCCATGTCCGCCAGGTACTTGTCCTGAAAAGAGAAGGACTTGAGGACGAGGAGGGCTACGGGTCCCCAGGGAGCCAGCCCTGAAGCCTCCTGCCCCATGGGTGCTTGTGCCAGGTCCTCGGTGGCCCCTCTGCCTTCACAGCCCCCGGCCGGCTCCAGGCCGAGGCGCGTGGCAGGAGTGATCCAGCTTAAAAATAACCTTCTTTTGTGGGGCTATTTTTATCCTGGGATTAGGCCCCTGCGCCGGGCCGGCACCCGGACCCGAGAGGCAACAGGTACAGCAGCTGGGGGAGCACAAACCCGCTGCCAGGCTGGGGCAGGAGGGTGACAGAGCAGGGACAGCCCTCGGGGAGGGACACAAAAGCCCTGCAACAGCAGCTCCAGCCACAAAAGGAAGGCTGAGAAGCCGGTGCTCTGCCCCAGGGGGGCTCCTGGCTGTGTGTGGGGCTGGGGATGGGGCAAAGAAGCCCCCCAGGGTCTGTGAGCCCCCCCGTGACCCCTCTGGCTCACGTGTTTGGCCTCGATGCTGGCCAGCTGAACTCGGCTCCGGCTCTCGTCCGCGTTTTCTTCCTGCTGACTCTTCCGGCACTCGGCCAGCTCCCTAGGACACAGCGGGGAGATGAGATGGAGGGACAAAACACTCCCTTCCCAGCTGCCTGCTGCCTCCAGGAAGGTAGAGACACAAAAAAAAAAAAAAAATAAAAGCCTTTATGGGGTGCTGCCACCCCCCTGGCCCCACCTCTCCTTCTCTGCCATGATCAGCTTGGTCAGGTAGGAGTGCAGCTCGTTCTCCTGGTTGATGCGTTTCTCCTCGATGCTGTTCCAGCGTTTCTTCTTGGCGATGCGCAGGGCGCTGGGGATGTCGTCCCCAAAATTCAGCCGCTGCTCCTTGGCCAGGTTGTAGGCTGGGGGAGTTGGGGGAGGAGGGCAGGGAGAGAGAGTCAAGGGCAGCTCAGAGCATCCCCCCCTTCCTTCTCCTCCCCATCCCTGAGCCCTTCCCCAGTGGCCGGGCAATGGAGGATGGGGGGGATGTAGGGTGGACAGCATGTCCTGACCCCCCCCATAGCTCACCTCTCTGCAGGTTGGCGATGGCCTCGTCGTAGTTCTCCATCTCCATCTGGCACTGGCCCAGGAAGAAGTGGGCCTTCACCGACTGGCCGTCCAGCTCCAGGGCACGCTTGCAGTCGGCCAGCGCCTTGTCGTGCTGCTGCATCTTCAGGTAGCAGAGGGCTCGGTTGGTGTAGTACACGGCCACCAAGGGGTTGCGGTTCTGCCAGGAGAGATCCGGGGGATGGGGGGGGGGTTGAATGGCTCCCCCCACCCCTAACAACCCTGCCGGGATGAGGTGTGGTGACAGCCAGGGTGACAACAACAGGACGAGCTGGCTGTGCGACACCCTCACCCTGGTCAGAGCCACGGGTGCCAGCCTGGGGGGAGTCACCGGGATGGATGGGGGACACATATCCCCATGGGGGCAGCTTGTGTCCCCTCCCCGGGGGCCCCCGATACCATGCCCTGCCTGGGGGGGGTCAGGGGGCTGGACCCCTCTACCCTAGAGTAGGGTCTGCCCTACCAAGGTCCAGCCTGGGGAGGTGGCAGGGGACAAACCCAAGCTGGGGACACTCTGGGGGGGGGGATGAATACAGGATGGGGCC